TTAAAGGACATTTATGACATTTATAAGATGAATAAATGAGAAACGGTGTCATCAAGGAGCTACAGTGTTTGTTCGAGTTTGTTGTGTATCCTGAGAGCTCCTTATTTGTGGAATTTTTCAATATTTGTTTTTCTACTGCCTCCAGACTCTTGTGTCTGTTTCCTGACACAGTTTACCATCTGCTCCAGTCCTGCCACTCGCTCCAACACTGATACATTTCAGTTTTTTATTTTGCTGCTACTGGAAACGTGAATTTCTCCTATGGCGATCAATAAAGTATCTATCTATCTATCTATGTATCTATGTATCTATCTATCTATGTATCTATATATCTATGTATCTATATATCTATCTATCTATGTATCTATCTATGTATCTATGTATCTATGTATCTATATATCTATCTATCTATGTATCTATCTATGTATCTATATATCTATGTATCTATATATCTATATATCTATGTATCTATGTATCTATGTATCTATCTATGTATCTATGTATCTATCTATGTATCTATCTATGTATCTATGTATCTATCTATGTATCTATCTATGTATCTATGTATCTATCTATGTATCTATGTATCTATCTATGTATCTATCTATGTATCTATCTATGTATGTATCTATCAAACGAATCCTGGTCCGTATCTATCTTTTAAAGTGGACCAAATGTGCAGGTCTGAATACACCCTAGTTGTTACACGTCCGCATTTAAATTCAACAAAACCACTATTTTTCTTCCACTCTTCCACCTCAGCAAATACCATCGTAGCAAACACCATCGTAGCAAATACCATCGTAGCAAATACCATCGTAGCAAATACCATCGTAGCAAATACCATCGTAGCAAATACCATCGTAGCAAATACCATCGTAGCAAATACCATCGTAGCAAATACCATCGTAGCAAATACCATCGTAGCAAATACCATCGTAGCAAATACCATCGTAGCAAATACCATCGTAGCAAACACCATCGTAGCAAACACCATCGTAGCAAACACCATCGTAGTAAAAACCTGGTCAATACTTACTCTCAAACATCTTGGAACATTTTCCAGCAGTAGATTTGAATAAAAAGTGTGTTTTAATCATAACCTTCTGTCGCTGACTCTAACTTTGACTGTTCCTGACTTTGATCTTGCACCATGTGTTCTCCTCGTCACAGCAATGAGCAGAACAGAAAACTACTGTTAAATCACTAAACTACTGTTAAATCACTAAACTACTGTTAAATCAATAAACTACTGTTAAATCACTAAACTACTGTTAAATCACTAAACTACTGTTAAATCACTAAACTACTGTTAAATCACTAAACTACTGTTAAATCACTAAACTACTGTTAAATCCCTAAACTACTGTTAAATCACTAAACTACTGTTAAATCAATAAACTACTGTTAAATCACTAAACTACTGTTAAATCACTAAACTACTGTTAAATCACTAAACTACTGTTAAATCACTAAACTACTGTTAAATCACTAAACTACTGTTAAATCAATAAACTACTGTTAAATCACTAAACTACTGTTAAATCACTAAACTACTGTTAAATCACTAAACTACTGTTAAATCACTAAACTACTGTTAAATCACTAAACTACTGTTTAAATCAATAAACTACTGTTAAATCACTAAACTACTGTTAAATCAATAAACTACTGTTAAATCACTAAACTACTGTTAAATCACTAAACTACTGTTAAATCAATAAACTACTGTTAAATCACTAAACTACTGTTAAATCAATAAACTACTGTTAAATCACTAAACTACTGTTAAATCACTAAACTACTGTTAAATCACTAAACTACTGTTAAATCACTAAACTACTGTTAAATCACTAAACTACTGTTAAATCAATAAACTACTGTTAAATCACTAAACTACTGTTAAATCAATAAACTACTGTTAAATCACTAAACCCCCGGTAAATCAATAAACTACTGTTAAATCACTAAACTACTGTTAAATCACTAAACTACTGTTAAATCACTAAACTACTGTTAAATCACTAAACTACTGTTAAATCACTAAACTACTGTTAAATCACTAAACTACTGTTAAATCAATAAACTACTGTTAAATCACTAAACTACTGTTAAATCAATAAACTACTGTTAAATCACTAAACTACTGTTAAATCAATAAACTACTGTTAAATCACTAAACTACTGTTAAATCACTAAACAACATGAGGCTGAAACAGATCTACAGACACTTCACTTGGAGTTACTCTGACAATCTCTCAGTCGCTCTAAAGCTGAGGGACATCATTTTCATAAATATTACCTGTTCTTTGTCCCAACACAAACTCTTTAAAAGTTAAAAAAACACATTTGAACAAAGCATCTCCTCAAACGAGCTGAAAACACTAAACCTGGAGACTCTCGTGCGCAGACATAGGAAGAACATTCAAACCCCCGTGTCATTTTTATCAATTTGTCATAAATGTGAATCTGAAAACATGCACCACAGAGAAAATCCTCCAGAGTCAGTCCTCAAAAGCACAATCAAGGATTTCACCTCGATTCTGATTTTAAATCTGTTTTTAGCCTTAGTTCACATTTATCATTGGCAGAATATCCTTTCCATACAGTTTAAAACTTACGTTCATTTCCATACGTTTAAAATCACTACAATTAAGTCAAATCGAGGATATTTAGATGCAGCAGAGACATGGACATAATCTGTCCTGCTCAAACACTAAATGAACTTTAAAGACAGAGCTTGGTTCGACACAAACACGATGTAAATGCAGATTCACCGTAAACACACTCTGCTAATCTAAAACTTGTTTCCCATTTTAACCAGATTTTCCAGCAGACTTGGCGCCCACGTGTGTTAGATCTTTTATTGAGGGGAAATTAGTCTCTAGTTCTCAAACTAACTCAAATAAATGAAGAAGAAACACAAAGAAGCAGAAAGTGTTTCAGTGAAATGGTCTGAAATAAAGGTTTCCAGGCAACGAAAGTGAAGAAGCCGAAAACTGCAGTAACTTTCAGCACCAGACACAACACTCTCCTGACAACCATGAACCACTGAACCTTTTCTGGATTCATTCTGCAACGACAAGGGCAGCGGTATTTAAAAGAAGCCGGATTCAGACAGAACTCTGTCCAAATGTGGTCAGAGCGTAGATAGAGGAGTTACAGTATAGCCACTTATGCTAACATGCTACTGTGTTTAGTAGCGCTGTAGTCCCATACGAACCAGCCCGGACTCTGAGGAGCACAGGGACTGGACTCCTGCTGGGACTCTGAGGAGCACAGGGACTGGACTCCTGCTGGGACTCTGAGGAGCACAGGGACTGGACTCCTGTTAGTGCCCAGAGTCAGAACTAAACATGGGGAGGCTGCTTTTCAGATTCATGCTGCTAAAATCTGGAACAGTCTTCCTGAAGATGTGAGACAGGCCTCCTCTCTGACAATGTTTAAAACCAGGTTAAAGACAGTTCTGTTTAACTGTGCATACAACTGAGGGATTTTATATTTTTATCTTTCTTTTTAATGTTCTGTGATTATTTATGATTTTAATGCTTTCTTGTTTTGTTCAGCACTTTGAGTTGCCTTGTGTATGAATTGTGCTATATAAATAAACTTGCCTTCCTTGCCTGTAGAGGCTAAAGGACGCAGCCTCGTTCTGTGATTGGAGGAGAGCGGGCGTCACGCTAAGTCTCTACTCAGCACTTTTTACGCCTGAATTCATACACATCTGAATCAATGAGCTCAGGTTTTACATTACAGCTTATATTACAACTTGTACGTAGTAATAAGCATTTCTATGAACTCAAAAAATAAAAAAAATCAGGTATAGCATCTTTAAAATAACAAAGACATATTCTGTGTCATATTTAACTTACTTTCATGAATGCAGTTATTGAAATGAATATTCCTAAAGACACCAGAAGAAGAGAAACTGAGCCGATGGTTAGTTTTGATAAATTACAAACTGAAGGAATTGTGACTTAAATAAATGATGCTGTTCGCACTTTTAATAAAGTCATATGTTTTCATTATACAGAGCGTGGGGACGGAGAGAGGAAGGTGTCTCATGGGATATTTTTTGATTTTTTTTTTTTACCAGAAATAGTTACACCATGAATGTTAAGGAAGGAAGAACATAAAACTACAGCTCTTAAAACTAAATGGAGCAGATTAATTTAGGACTAGTAAATAAATATGTCTGAAAAGGAGGTTGTCACAAAGTTCAGGCTGTGAGGTCGGCGTTGGACTGTAAACATTATTATTATATTTGGCCCTTAGAAAATACTTCATACTTCATAACTTCATGTTGTAGAAAGTGTAAGTAAAAAAGTACACATTGAAACGAGTCTCAAGAGCAAAGAATAATAATGTTATCGGCCTGCTCGATCCTTATGCTACAACAAGATGTAAAAATGTTGTTTGGTTTTTTCAAATTTGAAAACTACCAGCTGCAAACACAGACATGGGATTGACCAGAACTAATTTATGGGAAGTCACAGTGGCACAGTTACATCATTACTATTACAGTGAGACAGGAGCTTTTAAACAGAAGGGGGCGGAGTTACATGCATCTGTCAGAGTCTGGTATGAGCAAGAATGGATCTAAAAACAACTCAGGTCTGTTTTTTTGTTTTTTTTTAACGAAGGAACAATATCGTAATATGGTTAAAGACGCAAAAAAGGCAGAACTAAAAAAGGTCTCGTTATGATTCTCAAATCATTAACTCTTGTCTATTCAGCTGTTATGGTCCCAGCTGGATTCGTCTGCATATCTGGCAACCTGAGTCGGGGAGAGTGGGAGAGGCTGCAGTACCACTTTTGGCCACATGTTTACACACTGCTCCTTTAATATTCCAAGGTCAGACTGATATAATTCACTGATTTAACAGATGTCTCGGGTTAAAGAAGCAGGCGGAGGGCAGCAGTGGACCGGACGTGAGGCGCTGGACAAAGGTTGAAATGCCACCTTCATGCACCATTAACACTTTCACAACTGGAAATATATGAAGAGTTACACACCGAGCCCCGAGGTACGAGGCCAGCGACGAAATGTGTCAGAGCAAGATAAGAGTCAGCAACGAAATGCATCCATCTTTAGGTTCTGTCCACGTTCAAGGAATCTACCGGACGTGAGGCTGTGAAGGTGACACTGAGCAGGAGGAGACGCCAACACACGTCAGAGTCATCACAGAGTCATCACAGAGTCATCACAGAGTCATTACAGAGTCGTCACAGCAGAGTCGTCACAGCAGAGTCATCACAGAGTCATCACAGAGTCGTCACAGCAGAGTCGTCACAGAGTCATCACAAAGTCATCACAGAGTCATCACAGAGTCGTCACAGCAGAGTCGTCACAGAGTCATCACAGAGTCATCACAGAGTCATCACAAAGTCATCACAGAGTCATCACAGAGTCGTCACAGCAGAGTCGTCACAGAGTCATCACAGAGTCATCACAGAGTCATCACAGAGTCATCACAGAGTCGTCACAGAGTCGTCACAGCAGAGTCGTCACAGCAGAGTCATCACAGAGTCATCACAGCAGAGTCGTCACAGATTCATCACAGAGTCGTCACAGCAGAGTCGTCACAGAGTCATCACAGAGTCATCACAGAGTCATCACAGAGTCATCACAGAGTCGTCACAGCAGAGTAATCACAGAGTCATCACAGAGTCATCACAGCAGAGTCGTCACAGAGTCATCACAGAGTCGTCACAGCAGAGTCATCACAGAGTCATCACAGCAGAGTCGTCACAGATTCATCACAGAGTCGTCACAGCAGAGTCGTCACAGAGTCATCACAGAGTCGTCACAGCAGAGTAATCACAGAGTCATCACAGAGTCATCACAGCAGATTCATCACAGAGTCGTCACAGAGTCGTCACAGAGTCATCACAGAGTCATCACAGAGTCGTCACAGCAGAGTCATCACAGAGTCGTCACAGAGTCGTCACAGCAGAGTCGTCACAGCAGAGTCGTCACAGAGTCATCACAGAGTCATCACAGAGTCGTCACAGAGTCGTCACAGCAGAGTCGTCACAGAGTCGTCACAGCAGAGTCAGAGTCGTCACAGCAGAGTCAGAGTCGTCACAGCAGAGTCGTCACAGAGTCGTCACAGAGTCATCACAGAGTCATCACAGAGTCGTCACAGCAGAGTCAGAGTCGTCACAGCAGAGTCGTCACAGAGTCGTCACAGAGTCGTCACAGAGTCGTCACAGCAGAGTCAGAGTCGTCACAGCAGAGTCAGAGTCATCACAGCAGAGTCAGAGTCGTCACAGCAGAGTCGTCACAGCAGAGTCGTCACAGCAGAGTCGTCACAGCAGAGTAGTCACAGAGTCGTCACAGCAGAGTTGTCACAGAGTCGTCACAGAGTCGTCACAGCAGAGTCGTCACAGAGTCGTCACAGCAGAGTCAGAGTCATTACAGCAGAGTCGTCACAGCAGAGTCATCACAGAGTCATCACAGAGTCATTACAGAGTCGTCACAGCAGAGTCATCACAGAGTCGTCACAGAGTCGTCACAGCAGAGTCAGAGTTGTCACAGCAGAGTCGTCACAGCAGAGTCGTCACAGCAGAGTTATAAATCACTGCTAAAGCCAAAACTATGAAACTGTGGAGAGTGGAGGAGACTTGTGAGGACACTGTCTGTGGCCTACGTCTCCAAAAGATGAGGACTTTGACCAAAAACCGGATTTATTTTCTGATCTACTGTGTCATTGAAGCTGCAGTAATGTTCATAGTTCATGTCCAGGCCTGTGTGAAAAGCATGAATATATCTGTATTATTACATTTTCTGCACAATTTTGGTACATAACTGTGTATAACCATGTAGACTTGGACTTTATTGATCCACAGGGAGACTGCATAGTATTCCACAATATAAATAACATTAAAGTAACAATCTGAAATAATAATAATAATAATAATAATAATAAGGTAATATTGTGAGAATAGAATCATCTGGATAAAGAAGTTCAGGAATATACATATCTGTGAAACCCCCCATGTTTCCTCACGGACAGAAACAGCTGACGTGAAGGGGACAGGACCCCCCCCCGACCCCCCCACATCACCCTCAGCTGCTCATTTGTTGTAAGTAACCAGACTTTACAAAGCACTACACAAACTAGTGCTGTCACGATGCTACAATGACACACTCGCTCCTGACTATGTACATTATACTCGATAATCAAGACCAATTTTGATGCAGATGTTGTATATAAATAACAATATGTTGAGTATGATTCTATGGCTCTAGGTTTTACCATTGCCATTATTTCTCAATGTCTCATACAAATACAGACATATATACACATGACAACCGAAAATGTGTCTCTTTCTGCCTGGTATTAAAAGCCAAAGCGAAAAGTGTGTCTTAAGCAGAGATTTAAAGTAGTGATGGTGCGGACAATACAAACAACAGAGATTTCATTAAGCATTCAAAGATATAAAATGAGGCTGGTGGACATTGGAAATGGTGGGAAACGCCTGCTTTATACAAGTTATGGTTTAAAAAAATGATAGAAGAAAAGTTTTATATTAGAAGGTTATACAGGTCCTGATTATGTTATATATTATCCAGTATACATAGGAGGAGCATAGGAGGACTTCGGATCTAACTGGACAGAGCATTACAGCTTGGAGCTGAAGGACCCATGTGCTCGGGGGATTCTCGCTGCACTGCAGACTAAACCAGACTAAACCAGACTAAATTCACGTGGGCTACCCAGAAATATTCCCATAGAACTCAATGTAAATTAAAACAGCTCGACCTCAGCTGACAGAGAACCTGACAGAGAACCTGACAGAGAACCTGACAGAGAACCTGACAGAGAACCTGACAGAGAACCTACAGCTTTAATAAAGATAGTATTTTGTGGGGATGTTAGTGTCCCTTGTCGTCCTGAACTTTTTTTCTTCTTAAATCCTTCGGTTTTGTTTAAATCCACACTTTAGTGCCACAAACTCTGCTCCTCTGGCTCTGGCTCTAACTCCCGCTCGGATGAACTGCTCTGATTGGTCAGAGCCGAGCCCCTCTGTGCACAAGCGTGAGACCCGGTGTGAGACCCACACACGCGTGTTTGGGGCAATGCATTATGGGAGATCATCCACTGCACAGAACCAGGAGGACCAGACGATGCCCAAATACAGGCGAGTTTCCCATAGATCTTTGAGAGTTTCCCATAGATCTTTGAGAGTTTCCCATAGATCTTTGAGAGTTTCCCATAGATCTTTGAGAGTTTCCCATAGATCTTTGAGAGTTTCTCATAGATCTTTGAGAGTTTCCCATAGATCTTTGAGAGTTTCCCATAGATCTTTGAGAGTTTCTCATAGATCTTTGAGAGTTTCCCATAGATCTTTGAGAGTTTCCCATAGATCTTTGAGAGTTTCCCATAGATCTTTGAGAGTTTCCCATAGATCTTTGAGAGTTTCCCATAGATCTTTGAGAGTTTCCCATAGATCTTTGAGAGTTTCCCATAGGTCTTTGAGAGTTCCAGGCGACTTCCGCTCAGCGATCACTGAGCACAACCAATCATTTGAATACGGCGCCATCTTGGATCGCCGGGGCTTGGCTCGAACCCACAACCTTCAGGCCCAAAGAGCATTGGGCTCTACCAACTGATACTGTCGCCCAATAACAAAACATTACCCACAGAATAACACAATATGCATTTTCTATGCTTTATTATTTGTGGTACCTTTATCTCCTAAAGTTCCTGATGCATAACTCACAGATTTTCAAGTTTTAAGTATTTTCTTTTTGCATGTGATACAAACACATCAGCTCCCGCCAAATCAGCTTCAATTTCACGTTTCATTTCTAGTAAATCCGGATCCTCCGTAAACCCGGCCTGTGACAGAGTCTTGGCCTGACCCGAGTCGCTGCAGACGACTACGATTAAGTCACATCATGAAACCATTAAAGGGGATGTATGTGTCTTCACTCACACATCTGGGAACCACTATCAAACTGGAATCTCTTCAGCTGCTCTCAATCTGACACAGGATTTCAGAAAGTCCAGATTGAAAATGGTGCGACGGGCAAAACTATCTGTGTCGAAGAAATCATTATAAACTACACCTAGCGATATTGTCTATGTTGAGTATGAATAAAACGTGTATTTATTCAGTAAATCAGCAGCATTCTATTGAGCGCTTCAGGGCAAAGCATGGTTCTGATCTGAGAGAGTTTCATGGCCTCCGCTGTGGTTTCTCCTGCAGAGAGAAACCACATCCATCACGGCTGCGCTTCCTCCTCTTCCTCTCGCACTAAAGTGGATTTGTGGCGGTTAAAAAACTCCTTTATCTGTTGTTTTGTGATGGATTCATTAACGGTATCGTGTAGACATGCGGCAGGACAAGGGGGTAAACAAATACAACACAAGAGAACGTGAAGTTACGACATTTTTGACTAAAGGCTGTAAAATATGTTTGATTATTGTTTTTTCTGGAGTATATTTTTCATTTCTACAGCGCCTTTCACAGACCAAGGTCACGTAAGACTCTTTGAAATGTTGATGTATCAGTATTTTCCATTCACACACACACACACACACACACACACACACACACACACACACACACACACACACACACACACACACACACACACACACAGACACACACACAGTAATAATCGTAATAACTTTCCTATCTTAGTAAAAGCTGAAGATGTTTACAATTGTTTATGATGCCGGATTCGTCTTCTGACTTGTTTGCACCGAGAGCCAAAGCATTCTCCTGTAGTCTGTGACTTCTTGTTACTTACACGGCCATAAAAAGGATTCTGATTCTGACACGATGAAGACAGAAGCAAGACACCAACTCACTAACCCCCAACCGTCACGTCATACATCTCTCGTCTACATTCGAGATAAGAATATGTCTGTGTGTGTGTTTGTGCGTCTGTGTGTGTGTGTGTGTCTGTGTGTGTGTGTGTGTCTGTGTGTTGGGTTGTGCTGAGAGGGGTTAGAGCCAAATAATTTAAACAATAACATAATAA